TACTGTTTGTTTCTACATAAACTTTTATCTCCTTTTGGCTCACCACACTTCAGTTTTCCCAGCCAAGATACTGCATCCACAACCTGGCTCTGTTGTTTGGTTATATTCTCATGTATTTACCTACTTTTTCTTCTTACTATTTCTTCTTCCAGACAAGCCACAACTTAGGCTTCTCTCTCCTTCCAATTACCTAGAAAAACATCCTTCTACTTTTCAACTAGCATGATGGCTGAAGCATTGATCTATCAGCTAGATTAGTAAGGTGCCCTCAAGAAGAAAACCTGAGAGCTTTCTTCCATTCCTCCTTTCCACACAGCTCACTTTCTAAGTGTGGTGTGGTGCCATGCACAGGCATTGTAGGCAGAAAGGCCTCTAAAGCTCCCCAGTGAACTGGGCACCCCTGAACCAGGGGTTAGGTACTCCATCCATCTTCAGAGGACTAACCTCACAAACCTTGAGTGCTCTGGACTAATCTCAATGGTCCCAGGCTTGAATCACACACTATAATAAATTCTTGGCCACCATTTGCCCAAAGCTGTGAACCAGAGCTCTGCACAAGCCAAGCACTCAACACTTCTGTCCTCCCTATGGAATATAAGTGTCAGAAAATGGTAAGGGTGTCAGGGTAGGAAGATTAAGAGGAAGAAAACAAGTGGAGATGAGGTTGGGAGAGTTATTGGTGTTGTACCTTGATACCAAGCCCAAGGCAAACAATCATTCTCCAGAATCTATAAAGAATCCTTTGTTAAGAGTTTATTTGAATTCTTACCAAGTAGGCAGCTTACTCCTTTTCAAGAGGGTGCTGAATTGGCGTAGGTTGGCTAAGTAGGAAGTTGAGTGGTATCTCCTCTTCTCTACCCAGCCTCAAAATGAAAACAGATGAGAGAGGGCACTATCCCCTGCCTATTTATAAGGCAGCTGCTACCAAAACAAAACATACCTCCTGTCCTCCCCCACCAAACTAAACAGTAGTTTGTCAAATGGAGGAATAAGAAGAAAAGTGACAATTTTCCTTTATGTTAATAAATTGCTTTGGCCTTAAAAACATTAATCAATTTCTTTCCAAAGTATACATGTTTCCCTATACTCTGCTATTTGTCTGGCCTTGAAAAGAAAGTCACTTTCAATCCCCTTTAAATTGTCAAGACCAGGGCGGACAGTTATAGGAGGGGGGTGGGGAGCTCCCTGAGCTCTAGTCATTATAATGGAAACCTGTGGTGTTTCTATAGAAACATAAAGAGTGTATTCTTCCCTGAACATATATGGAAGGGAAGAGTGAAGAGTTCCTGACAAGGTGTACAATTACTGAAGAGCTAAAGTTATGAGTGAAGAGGTAAGGCATTCAGTCCCTAAGATAGGGAGGCAAGAGACTTAGTGAAGAATGGAGTGGGCAGACACCATATCCTACGTGAGGACATTTCACCTGTTATTGTGTCCCATCTGCACAAATACCCAGTGAGGTGGCTTTATAATCCCTGCTTTCAACTGAGTCTCAGAAAGAGTAGCAACTTGCCCAGGGTCACCCAGCCAGTAAGCGGTATTCTCAGTTCAAACCCAGGAGTGTTCCACTTAAGAGTCCCTGTTCTGTTCTCTATATTGGGCTGAACTTTAAGTTGTGATGATGAGACAGAGTTAACATTCTGTCTCCTGCCTCTTCTCCCTCCAGGCATGCCAGTTCTATACATATTCTGGAATTCCCCAGAGCATTATTTTTTCTAACTGGTATTGGGACACTATTGTGAATCTTAACAAACTCAAGGGGTGCGTTGTTGTCATTTGTTTGTTTGAATGGTGAAGTCAGAGAAAAGTTACATATAAGGAAAAGAAGGAGGTCAGTTTATGTGTATGCTCATATAATTTGGTAGAGGTGTGTGTATGAACAGGTGGTAGGTAGGGGTAGTTGAGATAAATGCAAAGCAATTTGCAAAACAATTGTTAGTTTAATCATCTATCTCATGTGCTGGGATCTAAGATCTATGAGAGCAGTATCCATATCTGTCTAACTTACTGTTAGCCCTGCAGCTGAGCACAGTGTCAGGCCCAGAGCAGGAAATGGCTGGTTAGCCAGCTGGCCAGCTGTCTGGATGGCTAGATGATGGGTAGGATGGATGGATGGATGGATGGATGGATGGACGGATGGATGGATGGATAATTGGTTGGATAAATGGATGGTTGGTTGGCTGTCTGGCTGATTGGATAGATGGATAAACTATCCCTTATCAGAAAGCACAGGAAATTCTGAGAATAAGCAGGAGGTACCCACTTTTTTGGGCTCTATATGGTGTTCTAGGATGGAAGACAGAAGGCTAGGAATATTTCAGGAGGTAGCAGAACTGTGAATGTGTATGTGCCCTATCTGTGAACTAGTACTAGTGGGGTTAAGAATCAGAATTTGCAACTTGCTGCTTTAAATGTTTTCCTTGAAGCAATGCAGAGGTTGTTGGAGATCAATTCTTTCCCAGCCTCTGAATCCATCTCTTTAAGTTTCTACTGGGGAGAGTGAGGTACAGATAATGCAGACAAAAATTCACCCCATGCCCAGAGACAAATAGGAGTGCAGTGCTGGATAATGCATCCTGGAAGTGAAACCCTCAATGTTTGAGTTTGTGGATGTCTCTGTTCAATGAACTGGCAAATCCTCAGCTTTGGCTAAAATGCCCCTAATTGCTTTTGATGTTGACTGATGTTACTGAAGACATAGAGCCACTGGACTACCAGTACCAGGAAGCCAGAAATAATGTCTGTCTGTCTACCATTCCTTCCCTAGTGCCTAGCATAGGGTCTGGCACATGGGTGATACTCAATAAATATTTGTTGAATGACTGGCTGAATACTTGGTGCCTTGCTCTGAGCTGGGTATTATACATGCATAACCTTTAAACTTCACTGAAATCCTATGAGTAGGTACCATGCTCATTTTGCAGATGAGGACCCTGTGGCTTAAAAAAAAATGAGAAATGACTTCCTCAAGATCTCACAGCTAATCAGTTGTGGAGCTTTGCTTTGAAAAACAGGGGCACCTGGGTGGCTCAGTGGGTTAAAGCCTCCGCTTTCAGCTGAGGTCATGATCCCAGGGTCCTGGGATGGAGCCCCGTGATGGGCTCTCTGCTCCGCAGGGAGTCTGCTTCCTCCTCTCTCTCTCTGCCTGCCTCTCTGCTTACTTGTGATCTCTCTCTGTCAAATAAATAAAATCTTTAAAAAAAAATTTGAAAAACACAGCCATTATAGGTCATCCAGCCAGATGTATGTCTCTATAGAAGAGACCAGGGAGGGATAGAAAAAGAGAGGATAATACCAAGGAGAAGAAAATCTGGGTGAAGCTTATGAAAAATGCAGAAACAAAATAATCAGAAACATCTTCCTAATACTCCCTAAGCACTGATACCCCATCAGTCTGGCTACAAAACATGCTGTCTGGCTCTTCTGACTTTTCAGCTTCTTCCAGCTTAGAATGCCCATTTGGGGGCTTCAGTAGTCATGTGTGATAATCATGATTTGCCTTTCCAGCAGCACCTACTCTGAAACTGGGTCTCTTGTGATGTGACATGGAGATGGTAGATAAGGACAAGGGTCCCTTTAACGATAGCTCCTTTTTATCCCTGGCTGGGTAGAAAGACTTCAGACTGTCATGGCCACATCACAGACCAGTGTGGGGGTCTTCTGTCTTCTATATGAAACATTTCAATTCTCTCCTTGCCAAGCAAAGAGAATACACTGTTTCTGTGACTCTGCATTTCCTCCACTTTCCACACTCCTACAGTGGTTACTCATCTTGGGCCATCTGAGGCCTCTAGAATGAAACCAGGTGAAAACACAGCTAAGAGCTTAAGAGTCTTCTTATAATCATCTCAGCAGTGGAAAGTCCTCCATAAGTAAATCTCCTAGGGTGGAAAGTGGACAATTAAGGGCAGAGAGAGCCCATGCACAGCCTTCAGGGGCATCTGCAAGATTCATTCTTCTGGCCCTGCTTTTCAGTTAATGGGAAAACTGAGCCAGAGTTATGAATCAAGCTGACAAACTCTGACACACCTGCAAGCCTGATTCTCAAGCCCTCAAGGGCATGGGAAGTGTGAGTACCCAGTGTGACCCCCCCCCCCCATTGGAGAACAAACCAGAGCTTCTGTACTTCCTGACCTCTGACTTTCTCAACTCCTGGGAACTGCCGGTCCCCAAATGCATCATGTTTACCTCACAGATCTGTGTACAGATAATACAATGGAGTCTGTATATTAATGACTCCAAAACACACAATAAAATAGCAAAGAAAAAGTGGGGATTAAGAAATACGTGTTAAAGGAAAGTATTTAAATATGTCTACATTGAGGTAAGTGTATATGAAAAGCTCTCCAAGCCACATTATTAAATTGAGAAACAAGGCAAAGAGTAAGGCATAATGTATTTGTTGTAATAATGGCAATAATGATATTAATAACAACACTAATAGGAGCTACTAAATATGGAAGGTTTACTTCCATAGAGCCAGGTACTGCTGTAAGTATTTCCTTTGTATTCTCTCACTTAGTTAATATACATATTAATTCCAAAGAAAGCCTTTGAGATTGTTGCTGCTGTTGTGTCCGTTTTATTGATGAGGAAATTGAGTCGTCAGTTTTGTAGTATATTCGTCTGTATTACTTAAATCTTCTATAATGAGGCAGTTTTTGTGTAAAATGTATAAAAATAACTAACAATAGCATTAAATAAATGTGCAAGAGAGATTGGAGTAATTTTTACTGAGCACCTACTATCAGGCTGCTATCTTACACATCTCTTTTAGACTTAAGAATATCCAAAAAAGGAAGGCATTTCAGGTGCCAGTTCAATCCATGAGGAACTGGAGTTGAGAGCAGTGGCACAATCTTCCCAAGGTCAGTAGGTACCTAAGCATGTGGGACTTGATCTCAAAGCCTATGCTCTTCCATGTCAGTCAGACACTCAGTAATGCTAAATCAGTATGTGCTGATTTGAATTTACTTTCCTTCCTTCTCTCTGTTTTTCAGTGTAGAATATGATTTTCGGCAGCAGGAAGGCAGGTTCCATGAAGTTCTGCAGAGTCTGGAGGAAGCGGAACCAGTGGAGGAGGCATCTCCTCCACCAAAGTCCCCAGCAGAACCCCCAGCCCCTGAGAAACAGGACTTAAGGAGGAAGACCAAGAAAGTGAAGAAGAAATGCTTCTGGTGGATCTGAGCTTGTTGGGTCCGTTCCCTTTGCCTCCCCCAGATACCTCCCCAAGGTGGGGAAACCACTGCCCTCAGGCCTTCTCTACTTCTTAGCACAGGCCCCAGGTGGTTAGCCATTTAACTTGTGAAATGGGAAAGACTCGGGCTGGTTTAACTGCTGCTGGACACCTGACCACTAATGTCACCTGAATTGAGTGATGCTGCTTGCTGAGGACTTCATGGACCCTAGAGTGACCACTCGCCTAGCTTGCTGTCACACATGACCAGGCCACATCCTTTGAGAGTCTAGTTTCCCACCATGAGCAAAACCCTATGACATTTTCCAACACCTCCATGATGCTAAACACTTCCTTCCCATCCTGGGTACATCATCCCAAAAGAAAAAAAAAAAATGTTGTGCATGACAGGAAGATAGAGGAGCATTATAAGCAGATACTCTAGAAAAAAAAAAAAGAGATACATAAACCACAGTTTTCTAAGATTTTGGCATATAGAAGCACAACAGAAGTAGGTAGGGCATAAAAATGCAAGGTCACTTGGTAGGTTGGGTCATTTTCATTTTTAATTAGCCCTTAGATTGCAAATCAAGGATGTGTCATCATGCTATGTAAGCTTTACAGGCTGTGGCAGAGTGAGGTTACAGCAGGGTTTAAAGAGCTTGGTGGTATGGCTATCCTGCAGTTGTAACTGCTGCAGATCCTGCCATAAACCATCATGTTCTCAGCCTTGGGCCTGAGACCTGTCAGCAAATGATTTGGACCTGGTTTGGGCTTGGACTTTAAGATTCCACAGTTAATGTCCCTGCAATATTTAAGACCACAAGATCCAGCAGCTTGTCTGTCCATTCATCTTACCAGTAACATAAGACTAAGATAAAACACAACACTGGTTCTTGTTCATTCATCCCAGCAACAGCCTTGTAGATAGATTCCAAAGTACGTTAATCTTCATAATCTCCCTTTGTGATGACCAGGTGATGGTCACCTGATTGACGAAGCAGCAGGACTGGGGATGAGAATATATATATTTTTTTCCATTTTAGTATTAAAGACCTTTCCTTCCCAAAGTCTGAATTCTTTTGAAGTCTGACTCATTCTTTTGGCAAGACCCTCATACATGTGGGTCCAGTCAAACTTGCATGGCTGAACAAACTACTAAAGTAATAGAATTAATTGCTACATACTCTTGGGGATAAGGGGTAGGTTGGAAAGGGTTGCATCCTTTGCATTAAATTCTCTACCAGGCTGTGGTTGCATCGATGCTGCTTAGAAAAGGGATCCTAAAGCTCAGCAAGCTTTCAGTGAAGAAGGCATTTCATAATCCCCTTTGCTGAAGATCAGGTGTCTGAGTTAGAGTCTGCAGAGTGCACGTAGGACGTATGTACCATACTGCAAACTGAGACTAACTGAGCAAACCACTCCGACAACTTCACCTTTCCCTGTCACCGTACTGCAGTGCACAAAGCTATTTCAGTGGGAGCGAGAGGGAAATTTGGCAAAGAGTTCTCGGCTTGCACTATTTAAGTCTTGGAATGTCATTCAAGATGTTCTCATTCTGTTTCTAGTGTAATGTTTAAACCCACAAAATGAGACCGGAATACATAACACTAAGTTGGAATTAAGATAAATACACTTGTCATACTTAAGAAGTCCCATTTCAATAAGATATGCTACCACTGGCTAAAAGCCATAGATCTTTCTGTATCCACACAATCAACTCTCAGTTGGCCCCAACAGTGGAAAAGAACAGCACAGAGGATAATCTAATAAAACAAGATAATTTGGGATCTCTTATATAATTTTATCTCATTGTAGAGCTTCTATCTTAATTTGCTTTGCTTATACTAATTTCCAAATTAATTTGTATTCTCAGGTAGCTTGCTAGAATGAAAATAATCCTGCTCCTGGAATTAAGAGACCCAGGCAACAGAGCAGTCTATTACACTATCCTTGGCAAATTACTTACATTTTCAGGACTTGTTTGTCCACTCTTGAATGGAGATATAAATACTTACTCTACCTAGTTTGTAAGCTCTGTGCACATTCCAACATCAAAATGAGCAGAAAACAGAACAACCCAAAGCTGAGTGGGATCACTTGCCAGAGTTAGCCTGGAATGAAGAGGTGTCTGAGGAAACTCACCCAAAAAGGATAATCCAACCCTTGGATAATGAAGCTCACCTTGTTATACACTTACACTGAGTTGGGGACCTGAGATAAATCCTCAACTGAATTAAATGAAATTGGGGTTGGAAAATGTTGACATTTCTAGAACAACAACAACAACAACAAAACAACAACAAATGAGGCTATGATAATTCTATACCAAAGCACAACACAGCACTACTCAGGCCACCGACCTGAAATTGGGAAGGGGGGTCTCTTCTGGATATCGAAACTTTTAAATAGGTAGGCAATGGGTTCAGTAAACAACTTCCTGCTGAAAAATGATCATCTTTATGTTTCAAACAACATGCAGATCCATATGCCAAATCTCTATACTCACCTTCCATGTGAAATCACTTCTTTGTGAAATATTATGTAATATCTACCATGATATTCTACAGAAATGATGTACTTGAGGTTATATGGTTTCATGGAGAGAGATTAATTTAGCAAAAATTACTTTTATCAAATTGAAGGGAAAAAGACCGATACATCAACTTCAGTTGCAGGAGTTTATGTAGCTGCTTTCTCTGTAGTTAAAAAAAAATAGGTACTCACTATACTTGGAACTTTATACCAGTTCATCTGTAGAGCACCTTCTTAAAGACTATGTACTAATGTAAGGTTTTGTAAATTTCTAAACTGTTTTAAATGGGATATTATCTTTTGCAATAAACTTACATATTTTTCCTAGGTTTTAAGACTCCATTACTAGCTTGGGTTGACTTGCGTTATAAAATTTAAACTTAAGAAGAACGACTTAGTGGTTCTAGTGACAGGGATAGTTTTCATTATAATCACTTCTGTATCTTTCCCAGGAAAACAAATCAACAATGAACACATTTAGAACTTAGTGCCTCAGTGATTACATAAAGACCCACATGTCCTGGGAGCAAAGGAGGTGGTTTAAATGAATGGAGTATGTCCTAGCCTCATTCAGATGGATATACTTCCATGATTTTTTGTCATTATTGTGTCCAGACAATATAATTTATTCAACATTTAAAAATTTTTTCCTCTAATTTTCTTCCTTAAAAGACAGTTTTATATCACCATCATAAGGAAACCAATACTATATTCCAAAAAGAGGAGATAGAATCAAAATGATTTTGTTAAATTCTTGCTAAAATTTTTGAGTGTTAAAAAGGGAGATTGCTTGTGATCTCTGTCTGTCAAATTAAAAAAAAAAAAGGGAGATTAGCAGATATTCAACACATGCTAAATCCACTTTAACACCAAACACACTTTCTACTTGACTAATCGGAATGTTTGAGAGAGAATTGAAAGGAAAACAACTTTCCCATCATGTGATTCATTTTTTTTTTCCCCTTCATTGTCCATGAACCATCTAAAGCCAGCCTGTTTACCAATTTAAGGTGGGAAGAGTCTTGGGTATAGAATCAGAAGTCTTGGGTCTGACACATTTAGCCACCTTCTTTTTGTTAAGTGGCTTTGGGAAAGTTAACGTCTGTGAGCCTCTGACTCCTTTCCTTATAATACTGAACATAACCTTTGCCTTACAAGGGTGTCTGAGACTTAAGTGAATGAAAGTCCTGAGCACAAATGTAGAGCACACAATGGGTGCTCAATAATTGTATATCCATTCGTTTGCTGATTGAAGTAAATTGGGAGAGAAGATGCAAGATGCCTTCATGGGTCTGTAGTGGGTTTTCAGAATCAAGCTTTAGGTTTTCTCAGGGCAAAATAATGGTGTTGATAAGGAATGAACTCTTATTAAGACCAGAAACCATGACAGTGAATGTGCCCTGACACAGTCCTCAGTGATCCAGAAGAATATGCAGGCATATCAAGCACAGCATAGAGCTCAGAAATGAAAGACCCTTGTTGTGTGGAATCAAGTGTCCTTGAGGTGAAAGACACTGCAAGAGTTGGGTGCCTGCCGTTTTAAGCACGGCAGTCAAGTAAAGCTAGATGAGTTGTCTGCGTGCTCACAGCAAAAGTCAGGGAACTCAGTACTGGAGCAATGCAGTGGTGGGAGTAGTATGGGAAGTCTACAAGCCACCACGACCCAGGGCAGTCCCAGGAACCACTGACACTAAACCTGAGACCCTTTCTGACTGGCAGGTTCAACTGCCTCACCAGCTGAGCAGAGGTCTCAACGTGGCCTTTGCTTGAAAAGGCTTTCATTTCAAGCTGCTTAAGGCAATTTGCTGTATACCAAAAACACATTTCTTTTTTTAAGTCCAAAGAAACGTAGATTTTTTTTTTTTTTAACGATCGTTATGCTCATAAAGCATGGCTTGCAATAAAAAGAGCTATGGGACAAATCCACACCCAACCAACACCATTTATGTCTGGTGTAAACAATGTTTGAAAACATAATGTTCATAAGCCCTTTTGGGTTGCACCTCAACTTCATTCCCATCTTTCAACCAACTTACAGATTGAATTCCTATTAGTCACATCTATCATCACTACTCCTGAGTTTTCCTGAATATATGACTTTGGCCTGCCTCCTATAGGGGCCTCGGTCCTACAGAAAACCAAACCTAGAGCTTGGTTTTCTCACTGCCACACCGAGCTAGATGCCAAGATAAGCATGCCTCTCCTCCAATACTGACACCCTGTTCCAAACCCCTCCTCTTATCTGATCTCCACAGGTGTGTTCCTACTGGTCCCCCAACATATACTTCCTCTTCCTCTAGCACATTTTAGACATTGCAAGCAAAGGCAATCACCACAAAATTTAGATCTGACCCATGTCACACTTTGGTTTCCTGATAAATTTAGAATGTAAGACTGGGTCTGTCACTACAAACCCAGAAGGGCCCACCTGCCTGTCCCATGGAAGCATGCATCTCAGGCACACTGAGGCACCTTGGCTTCCTTTGACCCATTACGCTAACACATCCTTAAGGGTCTGTTGTACACTTTTCCTTCTGCCTGGAATAATCCACACTATGCCATCCTCCTTGCCCAGTTTCCAGCTCTGTTGGGGCTTCCCACGTAAGGTTTTCTAAGACTACTACCACCACTGCCCTGGATCATAGGAAATACCCCTTCTGGACACTTACCTGGCACCAGGAATTCTTCCTTCAAATTTCTTGACACAGTTAACCTTGTTCATATATTTGTGTCATTCTTTGATGACCGTGTTTCTCTCTCATAGCCTATAATCTTCTTAAGGTAGGAATCCTGCTTATTTTTGCTTATCTTTGTATCTCTAGCACAATGGAATTGAAATATCTGTTGAAGCAATAAATTAATGAATGAATTGGATCCAATGGATAGACATGAAAAAAGTGATTCCCAATTTTTTCCTTGT